AATTTTTCAATATTTTTTTCCATGTTTTATTTGTAAGTCTTATTTCTTGTCTAGGCTATAACTAGAAAGGTTTATAAGAGTTACCGTCTTGAAACTTCAGGGGATATAACTTTCATACACAAACTTTGTAATTTTTGAGTTACTGCCCTTTGTTTTATGTAAACAAGAGGGCCATGATGGCCCTGAGGTCGCTCACCTGTATATAGGCCCCCCAACCCCCCCCCCCAAATGATCAATGACCCCTGGGGCAGGGCCAATTTTGACCACAGGGCTTTTATTTGAACAAACTTGGTAGACACTTATTAGAACATGTTTCATGCTAAATATCTTAGCTCTAACTCTTTTGGTTCTTTAAAAGAAGATTTTTTAAGTTTTACTTTATGCATATAGGGAAAATCAATGACCCCCCGGGGCGGGGCCAATTTTGACCCAAGGGCTTTTATTTGAACAAACTTGGTAGACAACTATTAGAACATGTTTCATGCTCAATATCTTAGCCATAGCTCTTTGAGTTCTTTAAAAGAAGATTTTTAAAGTTTTTACTATATGTTTATAGGGAAAATCAATGACCCCCCGGGGCGGGTCCAATTTTGACCTCAGGGCTTTTATTTGAACAAACTTGGTAGACACCCATTAAAACATATTTCATGCTAAATATCACAGCTCTAGCTCTTTTGGTTCTTTAAAAGAAGATTTTTTAAGTTTTTACTATATGCATATAGGGAAAACAATGACCCCCCCGGGGCGGGGCCAATTTTGACCCCAGGGCTTTTATTTGAACAAACTTGGTAGACACTTATTAGAACATGTTTCATGCTAAATATCTTAGCTCTACTCTTTTGGTTCTTTAAAAGAAGATTTTTTAAGTTTTTAATATATGCATATAGGGAAAATCAATGACCCCCTGGGGCGGGGCCAATTTTGACCCCAGGGCTTTTATTTAAACAGACTTGGTAGACACCTATTAGAACATGTTTGATGCTCAATATCTTAGCCACAGCTCTTTGAGTTCTTTAAAAGAAGATTTTTTAAGTTTTTACTATATGCATATAGGGAAAATCAATGACCCCCTGGGGCGGGGCCAATTTTGACCCCAGGGCTTTTATTTGAATAAACTTGGTAGACACCCATTAGAACATATTTCATGCTAAATATCTTAGCTCTAGCTCTTTGGGTTCTTTAAAAGAAGATTTTTTTAATTTTTACTATATGCATATAGGGAAAATCAATGACCCCCCGGGGCGGGGCCAATTTTGACCCCAGGGCTTTTATTTGAACAAACTTTGTAGACACTCACTAGAAGATGTTTCATGCCAAATATCTAAGCTCTAGCTCTTATGGTTTTTTAAAAGAAGATATTTAAAGTTTTTTCTTTCGGTTGCCATGGCAACCAGAATTCTGCATGGAATTAAATTCTTTGAACAATTTTCAAAGGTGACCACCAAAGGAACATTCCTGTGAAGTTTGGATGAAATTGGCTTAGTGGTTTATGAGGAGATGTCATTTAAAGTAAAAGTTTACGGACGGACGGACGACGGACGGACGGACGGACGCCGGACGAAAAGCGGTCACAAAAGCTCACCCTGTCACTTTGTGACAGGTGAGCTAAAAAGTCATAGTAAAAAATAACATTTTTCTAGTAAAAAAATCTAAGTTTATAAGGAGATAATTCTTGCAATATTGGTGCTAGAGTTATGAACCTTGTCACATAAGATGTGGATGATGATAAGGTACATATATTTGAAGTATGAAGTTGATCCCTTCAGAAATAAATAAGTATCAGTAAAAATAATATTTTTAAGGAAAATTCTAAGTTCAAGGGGATATAAATCTGAAAATATTGGTGCAAGAGATATGAACCTTGTCACATAAGATGGGGATGATGATAAGGTACATATATTTGAAGTATGAGGTTGATCCCTTTAGAAATAAATAAGTAACAGTAAAAAATATTATTTTTTAAGGAAAATTGTAAGATCAAGGGAAAATAAATCTGAAAATATTGGTGCTAGAGGTATAAAGCTCGTCACATAAGATGAAGTTGATGATAAGGAACATATATTTGAAGTTGATACCTTAAGAAATGACAAAGTTATAGTGAAATGTATTTTACTGCACATAAACTTTAATCTGAAATCTGGACGCAGACGCCGGGGCGAGTAGGACAGCTCTCCATATACTTTGTATAGTCGGGCTAAAAAGTTGACAATGCAATAGATAAGGTCCTATAATTATTGTTTTATTGTTGTATTTCAATATTATGGAATAGATATTTACAAAATAGGAAAAAATAATGAAGCTATAGTCTATCACTGAATTATCTGCCTGGATCCCCTCATGATAAATCATGGAGATAAAGGACTGAAGGTTGTATGAATTGATCTAGTTAAGTATTCCCAGGTTAACCAAGTTAAATAGAAGATTACCTACTAAGGTGTTACATGTCAATACTTGAGCGTTTCTAACAATTGATAATATGAATGTAAATGTCAAATACACTTTTCCCCATGATGGATGTTTCTCAGCTTTCTTTCAGTTATAACATGTTATAATCTTATGATTCCTATTCAGATCTGACTATAATCCTTTCACAGAGTCTATGAAATAATATAGATGTAATTTATTGTTACATTCATTTACACTTTTGGTATCTCCTTGTTAACTCCATAATGTCTTCTTTACCACATTTAGTTTACTTGAATTGGTCTGTTTATTATCAAAATTCAATTAATTTACTTTCACTGACAGTTTTATTGTCATTTCATCCAAAGTATCATAAAATTCAATATTGACAAAATAAGGAAAAGATACATTTTGCTGTCATTTTGGCACTCTTAAACATTAATTGCCAAATTAACTTTATTTTCCATACTTTTTGATAACTCTTAATTTAATCCAACATAATTCAAGTGGAAAAAGTGAAATGTGCCTTTTTTACTTGCACTTGTGTCTTCTGGAAAAAAATACTTTTTAAGCCTGACCACTGACTAAAGATGAGGACTGATCCTGTGGGCTACAATTCTTTTTCATTTGAAATGAAAATCTGGTAATTTTACTTATACTGAATTCTTGCATCACATATTTTGCATTTGTCAAGTCTTTCTTCAATGTTTTCATATTACACATTTTGTATCACCAACAATATGCAGATATACCAACAGATCTACACCACTTCCTTTTTGTCAGGTTAAAGTTTCTGGCAGAATATTTGTACATCATGTATTTTGCGAAAGATCCAGAAATAGCTTTCCTTTGCCTATAATCTGCTGTTTCTGTAAAATTAGAGAGAAAATAAATTTAACAACAGTCATCTGCATAGGGCATCACTTTTAATAACAATTTTTTTATAAAACAACTTTATAAGGAGCATAACATTTTTAAGTATATATATTGCTTTTAGGATAATAGCATCCATTGCTTTATAACTAAGCCTTGGCAAGATAATCAATAATTTAAGTTGATAGCTTTAATTGTTTTGAAATCATCCTTCAAATAATAAGCAATGTTGACAAAGTGCCTGTCATCATACAATCAAGTATTTCAAGATTAATTATGAATGATATCTTTTATACTTTTGAAAAGATAATTTTAAGAAGAAAAATAGTTAAACATATCTGTAATGATTGACAATACATATAGATTGCATTATATTGTGTTCAAAGTTTCACATTGATACCTTTCAGTTTTGAAATAATTCAACTTAATAAGCAATTTTAAATCAAAGTCCCATAACTCCAAATATGTTGCTTTTCAAATACCCCTTTTCTAACAAATGTGCTTTATCAAAAATATGCATTAAGTTAAAATATTCATCAATCAGGAATCAGCATTAGATGACAAGCACGAATGTAGGACAAAACCCCACCAGTTAAAACCCCACCACTCAAAATATTATAAAGTGGACAAAACCCCACCACTAAATTTTATAGAGTGGACAAAACCCCAAATCATATTAAAACAAAACAAAAAATAATGATAGTTATTAAGTGTTTAAAGTTTTAAAGATGGACATTTTTTATGATAATCTTACAGCTACACTTTGATGGTTTCAAAGGCAATATTCAAAGAATACATGTAATATCTCAAAAAAAATTCTCAAGCATACACATGTCCTATTCAGTTGTGATTTTCCTTGTTTTCATTATATTTAAAGTATTCACCAACAAAAAATACTCAACATTTCAGAAAATGTACAAAAACAGAAAAGTCTTACATTTCTCACGGGTCAAAAAACTGGTATTTCTTCAATAATTTGTCTGTTATTTGAAAAAAAAAATCTGCATTAAGGTAAATATTCATCAGTCAGGAATTGGCAATTAAGATAACAACCCATATTTAAGAGAGAAAAAAATAATAAGAGGCAAACTGCCTATTCAAAACTTTCTCACGGCTAGATTTCACTAGTTTCAAGGGGAATATCAAAGAATACATATAAAATCTCAAAAATATTTCTCAATAGCAGACACATATCCTATTCAGTTGTGATTTTGGTTGTTTTCATCAAATTTAATGTATTCAGAAAAAAAAATCATCAACATTTCAGAAAATGTACAAAAACAGAAAAGTCTTACATTTCTCACGGGCCAAAAACTGGTATTTCTTCAATAATTTGTCTGTTTTTGAAAAAAAAACCTGCATTAAGGTGAATATTCATTAGTCAGGAATTGGCAATTAAGATAACAATCCATATTTAACAGAAGTATATATATTGCTTTTAGGATAATAGCATCCATTGCTTTATAACTAAGCCTTGGCAAGATAATCAATAATTTAAGTTGATAGCTTTAATTGTTTTGAAATCATCCTTTAAATAATAAGCATGGTGACGTCACGTCCGGTTGCAGTAAACAAGTTTAACGGCGGAGCGTCAAAATTAACAATAATTAAATCTTTTGATTATTTAACGTCAGAGATTTTCAATAAAAAGACGGATTTGATAAGAAAAAAAATCTGGACACGATGGTGTAATTTTCATTAAATTGTGTCATTGATATCGGAAGAAAAACAATTATTAAAAAAGTGTTGTCAGAATTCTCAAAATTAACGATAAAAAAGATTCAGAAATTCATTCCCAGGAGCAGTGGGATTATGAAATGAACTGTCGGAAAGCGCTTAAGAAAAAATTGAATACTACAGAACGGGAAGAAATGATCATTACAGTTACAGGAGGTGGAATTAAGTTGGAAATGAACACTGGTATGTACGAGTTATTTAAGTATGCTTCAGAAATATTCTTTTCTGATCCAGAAATGATTAATCGAACCAAGAAAACTACAGCTTTTGATAAGAAGCAAAAACATTGTTGAAACTAAATATAATGTGTCTTCAGAAGATAAGTCCTGTTCCTACACATTAAATTTATATCACACAAGATCATCTTGTCTAATAAACGGAAAGAACACACAGCAGTTCATTGATTCGGACCTCACAGCCATTTTAAAATTTTGTTGAAAACAAGCTGTCGGATGAAGGATATAATTTAAATGAATTTAATCAGAAAATAAAGGCGGTGATACTGAACCATATGTCTACAAAAGAAGCGGAATCTTGCATAGATGAAACAGCGGTTAAAACACTATGTGAAATAGAAGATGCAGATTGCGATTTGGAATTCCAGTGTGAATCTTTAGAGTCGAGTAACATTCGAGTTGATACGGATACTACAGACTCTTTAATGATTAGTATGCTCCATAACATCCAACATCAAATATTGGAAATAAATGAAACACTCTCTCGTCATATTAAGGAGACAAACTTTCAGATGTCTTCAATTAAAGACGAAATAGTAAGTATTAAACGGCATGTATCGTTAGTTAGCTCCCAAACACAGGACTCTTTTGACTCGCTTTTGCTAAACTCAAAAAACGTTGAGAAAGATGTCAAAATACTCGCCGAATCTATGCAAAGGAAACTTCAGTCATTTTTTGATTGCTTAAAAACGGTACCAAGAAAGGATATAAATCCGAAATCAAGTGATAAATATACTGTAGAGAGGGATAACATTGTTACACCGGACGACACTCAGATAAAGAGACCAATTTCAGAAAAATCAACATGTCCAAAACGTACAAAAACGCTAATTATCGGTGATTCTATCATGAAAGCAATTAACAAACGAGGTTTACATGATACCGTAGATACATATTATATAAGGGGAGGCACCGCCCATGACATAGTGTTACGATTGAAAAACTTGGATATGAGGGAATTACTCAACATTGTTATCTACGTCGGAGGAAATGACGTTGCATCCGAAATTCCACTAACCTCGACTTTGGCAGAATTAAAAACTGCCTTGACGTCACTTGAAAAACACAAGGACTGTTCAATATATATATGTACTGTATGCCCAAGATCAGATGCAAATGTTACTCAACTGAATGAAGAACTGTCACAGCTGTGTTTAGACAATAATGCTGCACTGATTGATGTATACAGCGGATTTGTCTATGGTGACGGCAGTGTAGCGAAACACCAATTTGTAAGGGATGGTATCCATTTAAGTCCGAGGGGTGCGTCTGCGTTAGTCCTGGCAATAAATAAAAGGCTACGTATAATCAAACAACAATCCCCCTCAAATTCCGATATGCGCGCAACTGTAACAGATAGAACCAGAAACATGAACAAAAACTTGACAAGAAGGTGGCAACATTCTTCGAAGCGGAGCAATGGGTACGACTTTTCCAGTGAAATGCGATATGGCGGAACCGGAAGTAGGAAATGCTTTGATCAGTGTTTTATCTGCGGAAGAATAAATCACAAGTCTAAAGACTGTTGGTATCTGAACTAGGATAATGCGGACAGACACTCTAAAAGCTATTATAGCAAAGACAAATTCCAAACGTTTAATAAATTTAACAATGAATACATAAACAATGTAAGTGAACGTAATAAGACTACTTTGTTAGAAAAAGAATTCAAAAATGAGATTTCATCAAATAACAGTAACATGTGTATTCTAACAGATTACTGGATCGAGGTATGTGAGAGTAAAAGAAATAGTTTTACAAATGTAGATAATTTGAATTTGATTTTCTCTTATATATATTACATTTACATATCTGGTATATCTCAAATAAGAAATAACTATATAGTAATATTTCAGTCACACACAAGAACTTTTCAATTAATTCCGTTAAATAAAAAAGTCGGTTTCGATATGTTCCTACAAAATGGTTGCAGGAAAACTTGTTTTATGATCGGAGGCATGTACACTCCTTCTTTTACTATTGTTTATAATGTATGTTACGATTTTATGTTGTACTCCACAATTGATATTTTACACATATGTTTAAATACGCGAAAAATTATCGATTTGATAGTAAAAGAACGGAAATTTATAGACACTAATGCATCTGATAATCAAATTGTTTCTTTTGAACAATCAGTGCTATACAATAAATACGGAAATGATGAATATAATTGCAAAGTACTAAATAATGTTACGCTCCATAAATCAAATTTTCCAAATAATAAATTGTTCAATTTAAAGTTTGAAAAACGAGGTTTACATATTGCACACCTTAACGTTAATCATTTAATGCCGAAAATAGACAAAATAAAATACAATCTATTAAACAAATTAAATTTGCCAGATATTTTCGGCTTTACTGAGACATTTCTTGGTGATGATACAACAGATGATGAATTAAATATAAACAAGTTCACACACGAAAGAAAGGACCGTAAAAGTTGTCATAAAGGCGGGGGAATTGTAATATATATTGCTGACAAGGTACCATATCGGCGCCGTTACGATATAGAAACGGACGAATTAGAATCTATTTGGTTGGAAATTATTTACCCAAATTGCAAACCTTTTCTTTTAAATTTTATATATCGCCCACCAAATGTACACCAATCTTGGATTGACGATTATGAAAAACAACTAAGTATAATAGATATATCAAATATAGAATATCATATTCTAGGAGATGTCAATATAAACTTTTATCCAATGAATAAAAAGAAAAAATATGACAATAAAAAAATGGGGTGATTTGATAACGAAATATGGTTTGAAACAACTTATCACAGATCCTACTAGGATAACAAAACGTACCCAAAAAATTATAGATCATGTTTATACAAACAGTAGCAGATATATTATTGAATCGTTTGTTTCTGATACCTCATTAAGTGATCATTATCCGATATGTATTTCAAGATCAACGAAAGCATGTACCCGATTGATAAATGAACATAATTCGATTAAATATAGATGTTTTAAAAACTTCAATGAAATTGATTTTCAGGTAGACCTTGCTTTATCCGATCTTGAATTAGTCGAGCACATATTTAATCCGAATGAATCTCTTAGCTTATTTTACTCCATTTTAAATACAATATTGAAAAAGCATGCACCAATAAAAGAAAAACGTATCAAACGTGAACACCGGTCGGAATGGTTTACTGATGAGATAAAATATCTAATACATGAACGCGATTACTATCTTAAAGTAGGGAAACATGAACAATACAAAATGCTCAGAAATAAAATATCATCAATGATTAAAAAAAGTAAAAGAGATTTCTTTAACAATGCTATTAAAAATAACAAAGACCCGGCATTTTTATGGAAAAATTTAAAGGACGTTTCAAATCTAAATAAAAAAGGTTGTATTACAATGCCAGACAGACTAGTGACAGGTAATAAAGAAATTTACGGAAATGTAAATATTATAAATGAATTTAACAAGTATTTTGTCAATATCTCGAATGTCATACATAAAACAAAGTTTTCAAATACAAATTTTTCAAACTTGAAAGAAACTTTAGACCAAAAGCTAATATATCATGAATTTAATATTGAATTAATTACACCGTTTGAAGTAAAACTTATTATTGAAAAACTGAATATTAAAAAATCTACAGGATAAGATGGAATTGGACCAAACATCATTAAATATTGTGGAGATTATATTACACCAATAATTGCATCAATTATCAATAATAGTATTAAATCTAATATTTTCCCAGATGATTTAAAAAGAGCTAGAGTTATACCTATTTTTAAATCGGGGGATAAGAATGAAGCAAATAACTATCGACCGATATCAATTTTATCAACTATATCCAAAATATTTGAGCGCCATATTGCCAAACAAATACACTCATTCTTTGAAAAAACGAACATAATTCATAATAAACAATCAGGATTTCGTAAAAATCATTCATGTAATACTGCACTCATTAGTTTAATAGATACTTGGTTAAAAGATGTTGACAGTGGAAAAATTATCGGGACTGTATTCTTAGACTTAAAAAAAGCCTTTGATTTGGTTGACCATGAAATACTTTTGCATAAACTTAAACTTTATCATTTTTCTGAAAATGCCGTTTAGTTTTTTAAGTCATATCTTTCTAACAGAATACAACTGGTTAAGATAGGTAATCTTCAATCTCAGACAATGAAAATAATTTCCGGTGTTCCACAAGGCTCAATATTAGGACCTTTATTATTTCTAATATACATAAATGACATATCTTTCATTGGTAATGATATAAAAATTGATTTATACGCAGACGATTCTACTCTTTATGAGTCCGGAGAAAATATATCAAAAATAGAAATAAAACTTCAAGATCATTTAAATAACATTGACAAATGGTGCAAAATAAATAATATGGCCTTAAATCCAGATAAATCAAAATGTATGGTAATAGGAACAAGACAAAAAGTAAATATTATGAGAAAATTGTATCTTAAGATAAATGAAATAGCTCTTGAAAATGTAACTGATCAAAAAGTCTTGGGTATCTGCATAGATAACAACTTAAAATGGCACTTGCAAATTGACAATGTTTGTAAAAAACTTAACGGAAAAATTGCCTTATTGAAAAAGATATCGTATTTTTTGCACTTTGATATGAAATTATTGTTTTACAATGCATATATATTGCCCATTATGGACTATTGTTGTATTATTTGGGGTAAAGGAAACACAAACTACATAAATAATGTTTGTAAATTACAAAAACGAATTGCTAAAATCATTTTACAGCAACCACAAAGATCTCCGTCAATAAATCTATTCGAAACTCTTAACTGGTTACCGTTCCTTGACAGATGTAAATACCACACGGCGGTGCTTGTTTTTAAAACTTTAAATAACATGGCACCGACTTATATGACAGAACTGATGACTTTATCCGACAACAAAATATATAACTTAAGATCTAGGTCACGAAAAGATATTGTATCATGGACAAGACCTAAAACAAACTATATTAAAGACACATTTTCTTATTATGGCATGAACATTTGGAACAATATACCTTTAAATATTCGTAAAGTTAATAACCTTTAATGTTTTAAAGAAAAATACAAAGCATATCTTGATGTTCATATGAATGAATGAGTGAGTGAATGAATGAATAAATAAATTAATTAATAATGTCTGTCGAAAGAATATGAGTTGTAATATTCTAAATATTACATATTATACTTTCATTTTTCTACCTATGCATGTCCTGTTGTTGTTGTTGTTGTTTTCTATTTCAGAAGGCCACATTGGAAATAAGATATATATGATTGTTATTGTATGTTCTTAATGTGTAACCTTCTTTAAATAAAGATATTATTATTATTATTATTATTATTATTATTATTATTATTATTATTATTAAGTATATAGAGGCAAACTACCCATTCAAAACTTTCTAAGATGGGCATTTTTTGATAGTCTTACATTTCTCACGGCTAGATTTCATTAATTTCAAGGGGAATATCAAAGAATACATATAAAATCTCAAAAATATTTCTTAATAGCAGACACATATCCTATTCAGTTGTGATTTTGGTTGTTTTCATCAAATTTAATGTATTCAGTAAAAAAAAATCATCAACATTTCAGAAAATGTACAAAAACAGAAAAGTCTTACATTTCTCACGGGCCAAAAAACTGGTATTTCTTCAATAATTTGTCTGTTATTTGAAAAAAAAATCTGCATTAAGGTAAATATTCATCAGTCAGGAATTGGCAATTAAGATAACAACCCATATTTAAGAGAACAAAAAATAATAAGAGGCAAACTGCCTATTTAAAACTTTTTAAGATGGGCATTTTTTGATAGTCTTACATTTCTCACGGCTAGATTTCACTAGTTTCAAGGGGAATATCAAAGAATACATATAAAATCTCAAAAATATTTCTTAATAGCAGACACATATCCTATTTAGTTGTGATTTTGGTTGTTTTCATCAAATTTAATGTACTCACCTACAAAAAATTCTCAACATTTCAGAAAATGTACAAAAATAGAAAAGTCTTACATTTCTCATGGGTCAAAAAACAGGTTAGATTTTTTTATAATGCTACCAGAGTTTTATTTTTAAAAGAAATATCCTAAGGATTACCATAATTTGAATGACCTACCATTCATTAATTTGGCAAATTTCATGATCAAACAATTTTTATAGAATATAGTTACACATGATATTATATAATATGCACAGGATATAACATATTTCAAAGTCACTAGTATTAGACATTATTTCCTGTCATAATGACACTTCCTGTGTTTGGAATGTATTGCTTCCCCCCAATTATGCTCTAGAGAGAGGTTCATAAATAACACGTATATTACCTGTATTGATGTCACTACATTTATCCAGAAGTGAAATATTTGTTAATTGTAATCTCAGCTATCCGAAAATGACACCTTTTTGTAACACTGGATTGTTCTCACTGAAATTAATAAATATTTTTATGATATACTTATAAATGAAATATTGAGAAATATTGATGAAATAAAAAGCATATCCATTTTCCCTATTTTCACTGCAGTGAAACATATTTTCCGTATTTTAACTGGTATTTTGCTGGATTTTACTTTTTTCTAAATAATGCCAGTACACAAATCAAAAAAAAGAAAAAGCATATAATAAAGAGAAAAATTTTCTATAAGTAAAGAATTTATTTTCATCTTGTGGTATGAAAATTATCATATTTCACACGTGGCTACCTCCACTCAGGAATTTTCTTTTGATACCACTTGATGAAAATTAATACTGTATTTATCATGTTTATAGAAAAACCTGGAATATCCCCTATTTAAAGTAAAATAAAAATGCATTTCTTTTATATTCAGAAATAATTGTGAACAACTAATTTTTTATATTTTCTTACTGGACGCAGTAAGGAAGACAAAACTATGAAAGAAAAATCAATTATGTATAATTATGTATGAAGTTATAGTAAAAAAATAACATTTGTTAACATAAATTCCAAGTTCAAGGGGAATAATTCAGGAAATAGTCACGCTAGAGTTATGAACCTTGTCACATAACATGATTGTGTGTAATGATTAGAAATATATATTTGAAGTTTGAAGTAGATACCTTAAAATAAAAGAAGTTATAATATTTCTTAAATAAAATCCTAAGTTCAAAGACAGATAAATCTGTAAATATTGCTTCAAGAGTTATATACCTTGTCACATAAGATGTAATAGATGATAAGGAATAAGTATTTGAAGTTTGAGGTAGATACCTTTAAAACTAAAAAAGTTATATAAAAAAATAACGAGTGTAGGACAAAAGCCCTCCCGGACAAAAGCCCTCCCATTAAAAAGTGACAAGGCGGACAAAAGCCCTCCCGTGAAAATGACAGGGCGGACAAAAGCCCTACCGTAAAAATGACAGGGCGGACAAAAGCCCTCCCGTGAAAATAATAGGGCGGACAAAAGCCCTCTCGCAGCGAATACATATATGAACGTTGAATAGTTTTTATTTTATTTTCCATGCACTCAACATATTAAAATTGTAATCATGAATATTTTTGTTTTCCATTGGCATGACCGTGTTTGTATGGGCTTGAGCACATTCCTGAGAAATTAGTGCTAGAATATGTAAGTGCATATTTATTCACATAGATATGAAGGATTACTCCTATGTGAAGTTAATTTTACATGTATTAGAGTAATAAATGATGAAAAGAAGTTAAAATAATCTAACTTAAAGTTAAAGACATTTATAATGTGCCTTGTAATTAGTCAATTACTTTTAAAAGTGACTTTGTTTTTAACGACATTCGTGTCAAAAGTTACTTCGTTAAACATTTCAGGAAGGTATTTTCAGAATAAAAGGTGGTTCTAGCTCATACACATACTTAGGCAAATTGAAAACAATAAGAAATATATGTAACAATTTTAATATGTTGAGTGCATTGAAAAAAACACAGGTATTCAACATACATATTCATTTTTGTTACGGGAGGGTTTTTGTCCGCCTTGCTAATTTCACGGGAGGGCTTTTGTCCGCCCAGTCATTTTCATGGGAGGGCTTTTGTCCGCCCTGTTATTTTTATGTGAGGGCTTTTGTCCGCCCTGTTATTTTTATGTGAGGGCTTTTGTCCGCCCTGTCATTTTCACGGGAGGGCTTTTGTCTGCCTTGTCATTTTTTGACGGGAGGGCTTTTGACCGGGAGGGCTTTTGTCCGTTTCCCAAAAAGAACATATTTCAAGTAAAAAAATCTAAGTTTATGGGGAGATAATTCTTGCAATAATGGTGCTAGAAATATCCATTTCCCGAAAAAAGTTATAGTGAAAAAAATTTTATTGCACCAAGACTTCGTATAGTGGAGCTAAAAAACATTAACCCGGTACATTATGTGAAAGTACTTGCCTTAATTTCAATCTTGTTATCTTGCAAAGTTTCATACTGGTTTAAAAGGAGTAATGTGCACAAATTTTATAAATAAACAAGAGGGCCATGATGGCCCTGAGGTCGCTCACCTGTATATAGGCCCCCACAGGGCTTTTGTTTTCACAAACTTGGAAGACACACATTAGAAGCTGTTTCATGTTAAGTTTTTACTACACACATATAATGAAAAACAATGATCTCTCCCCCCCCCCCGCCGGGCCAATTTTAACCCAAGGGCTTTTATTTGAACAAACTTGGTAGACACCCATATTTCATGCTTAACATTTAAGCTAAAGGTCATTGGGTTTTTTAAAAGAAGATTTTTACTAAACACATATAGTTAAAAACAATGACATCCCTGTGGCGGGGCAAGTTTTGACCCCTGGGGTTTTATTTGAACAAATTTTGCAGACACTTACTAGAAGGTGTTTCATGCTAATATCTAAACTCTAGCTATTTCGTTTTTCTCAAAGAAGATTTTTTCAGTTTTTGCTTTACATACATAAAAGGAAAATCAATGACCCCCGGGGCGGGGCCAATTTTGACCCCAGGGCTTTTATTTGAACAAACTTGGTAGACACTCATTAGAACATGTTTCATGCTAAATATCTTAGCTCTAGCTCTTTGGGTTCTTTAACCTTTTCCCTTATATAAGCGTGTTTCGACGGCTTTTTGCCCCCCCCCCTTTTGAGGCCTCAAACAGCGAAAAAAATGCCTATTTAGGCCCCAAACACTGTTTTTCGTTTGAGAAATGTTGTTCAAAAAAGTAATCACTTTTTCGGCGCCGTCCCCCATACAAATATTACATCAGGGGGTTGCCAGAAGGATGTGCCCCCTTCTGTTTGGGGGGTTTGAAGGGGGGCGGAGTCCCCCCATCTCCAAGAAAATTTTGGACATGTGACAGGCTAAAAATGGCCTCAGGTCGATCTTAGGGTAGCTAGTAACCGACGCTGAAAAGCCCTTTACTCTATCTCAATTCATTGAGAAGTTGCAGCACTTTGAAATCAGTTTTGATGGAAAAAAACAATGCAAAATAGTGATTTTTGGCAATATTGAGACGTCCCCCCGTTGCCATGGTAACAGGAAATTTACCATTGAGCATGCTGTTACAGAGGCTATGGTGTAGTCAACATTTGTGCCAAGTATCATTAGTATTGAAGCATTTTTCATACTTTCATAGCAGTTTGAACTTGTTACAGGAGGCTTTTCAGTGAAAATGGCCATTTTTCGCAATATGCTCATGGGGTAAAAGGTTAAAAAGATTTTTTAAGTTTTTACTATATGCATATTGGGAAAATCAATGACCCCCTTTGGCACAACACAAAAGGTATTTCACAGGGCCAATGATAAAAAATAAAACATTATCACTTATTCAAATGCGAGCAATTGACACAGTGCTAGAACAGGCAGCATTTTGTAGATCCCTGGGTGTAATATGCCTTTAAAAAATTGCCTTTTTAAAGGATATAAACCACATTTATGTGATATTAAATGGACGTGAAATTGTATAATCGAATCATCCTTAAATGTCTAAATCCATAGAGCTTTTGGGAGCTGCGCCCCCTTTACCCCATCCAGGGCCCTACCCTGGACCTGCAAGGGGGCCCTATTGACCTCCTGTGTAAACATTTGTGCGTATATTTAAAATGACCCAGCTACGCCCCTGACAATGAGTGTCAATAAGAAAATTTATAATATTTGTGTACACATTAACAAATGACAACAATCATTTTAATTATTCAAAGTCAAAATCTCAAATTAAATGGAACTAAATCTATAAGTATTAAACCCCTTTACCCGATGTTTTATTTAATCTAACTGTTATACGACTAAACAATTAGCATGGTCAATGAGGATCATTTATCAAAGGGGAGTAACTATGTGTAATTATTACAACAATAATGAAGTCATATATTAAGGTTTCTTTCTCCAGACTGCATAAATTCCAAATATTTATTGATGTGACTCACTGTCTGATACAAAAGTCTTCATAACAAATATCTTAGATTTTGGCATTATAATTTTACACAAAGCTTAATTGATTGTTTTACTGAAGTATTTTAGTCTATAGAAACTTAGTGAGCCCAGGGTGGTCCAGGGGGTATCATGGCATGTCAGACTACAGAACGTTTGTAGAGACCCACAAGGAGATGCTTCATGCAAAATTTAATACAAAATACCTTGAAATTTTAGAGAAGAAGATTTTTTTTGAAATTTTTACTTTATTTGAGGACCATCTAAGAATCATTCCTGTAAAAATTGGTCAAAATCCATCATGTGGTCTATAGAAGCGTTTTTTTTATAAATTGAGGACAACAACAAACGACAGATGACAAAAGATAGACATACTGCTAACCAAAAGATCTGACACCCTGAGCACTTTGTGCTCATGTGAGCTAGAAAGGGGTATAACTCTGCAAATATGCTTAGCAGACAAAAAAGTACCCATATACATGTAGCATGGAACAACCTAAATTATCTAAGGAAAATCACAAAATCTAATGATTGTGCAAAAATCATATACATGTAACATAATAATAAAATAATAATGAGCTTTTTTTATTTATTGTGTTTAATTGCGCCAATAAGACCTTCATATCCAGATATCTGCTTACTTGTAGACTCTTGCTTGGAATTAATTGAGATCTAACAGAACTTTATTATGCTTTACTTGAGCCTCATATAGACACAGACCTTACTCTTTGCCTACATCGTACCATTTGCTTAAACTTTATTAATTTGGCTAAAGAAATCTATAACAATTTGGCTTCATGATTATTTGCACAGGTTAACAACTACCACAGCTATACCGACTCAGCTATCTAACCCCTTACACATTTATCTCACAGCTGTCTGTACTACTGAGTGAATGTGACATTCAGCCAAACTATACAGTATTGAAATTTGTCCAACAGAACAGGATTTAAATTGACTCTGAGCTATAAACCATGATATCATGTTGCCTGAAAGGGAACCATAATTATGTCACAGGTACTGCAAAATGATGGGACTCAAACCCAGGACCCTTAGAAATATTGTACCTCAGCTTTTCGGCCACTTTTTCCGAAAAGTTCTTACCATGTATCAAAATCACATGTCATTTGTTTAATAAGGATTGATCCTTTGTTTTGTCCTAATATTTAAAAATCATAATTATTATCTGTTTTAAATTAATGCACTATTAAACTTCACATGTGAAAATATTTACAGTGTTCACTATACTGTGAGGGCTATATGCACCTTTCTTTTCGGGAATCAAATTCAAATTAAGGCTAACAAATTCTATCCATTTTAGCTTGTTAAGCTTATAATTGCTAACTGTTAGGTCAGGTTTCACAAAATCTAAAGTAACATATAATCTTGTACTATTCTTGAGAATATTTAATATGTGGATTTATACCAAATTAATAAGCTGATCTTTAAAGCAGATCAAGCATTGTTATTTGTGTGCACAATTTATATAGCTGAATGAACATACAGAAAATCAAAAAAAAGATCAAGGAATCCACTATTCAAGCAATATTAAGAAATAATTAATGACATTTTTGTTTCCTTGCATAATTTATATATGCAAATGAAAAACCAGGATCAGCTCTCTCATGTACAATGTACAAATTCTACATGGTTAACCGGTCCCATGTAAGCTGTATAGCTTCCTCAAATATCCCTCATATGACTGTGAGGGGTCAGCAAGCTAAACCACTTGGCTGCAGTCAGAGCCCCTGTTTTGCATTAAAATTACACATGTATGAAAAAGAAATACCAAAACCTCTTATATATGACCACTTGATAAACTATCTTTAATGCTTGCAAACACGTATTTTTTAAGTCCTGTATATACTTGTGGTTTGAAAGTTGACAATAAAATAGTTTTTACTTGGATAGGTTTATCAAAAGCAAAAATACAAGTTTTAAAAGCAACAGTTAAACTGGCAAATTCATCCTTTTTTTAATGAAAGCTCTAAAAAAGTATTTAAAATTTTAAATGTGAAATGTTGTGAAGTGAACAATTTTTTTTTTACAAAATTTGCTTGCAATCCACATAAATTACCAAAAAGGAGATCAAAATAAGCAAAAATAGCCCTAGGACCTTGCACTGTGTTAGTAAGACAGTAAGAGATATGGTGGTAAACACTGACATTGATTACTGCAAAATCCAGTCCTTAATCATAACATGAAAATTATCATTTGTATATGTACTTGAATTTAAAACATTTTTTCTTTTCAACATTTTTATCAAGTTTTATTTTCTTGAATATTTTGGCTCATCTGGAGGCATGCCGCTTTAAGAGCCAAAAGTATACTTTTATGGGCCTAATATTTATCTGGCTCGACTAAACCGACATAACAAGGGCTGCATGCTGGTGAATTCAAAATTTATTTTTAGCTTGAGTATATGTAGAGCAGTGCTACTCACTCATGCATTGGCATCTGTACTATTCAGGTTTAGTGCAGCAATATAATTTGATATTTCATTTTTTAAACTTTTAACTTCAAATATTATATATATTCCTTATCATCACTCACATAATATGGGACTCCAGTTATTTTTCTCACTTAATAGAAAGGGACCTTAGATTTAGGTAAAAATTATTGCTAAAATTTCCACTTTGGGTAGAAAATCAGCTGGTGTAACATAAGGAAAACTGCATTATTTCAAAGAAAAATTCAATTGGACATCAATATTTCTAGAATTAGCTCCCCTAAAGCCTAGTATAAGTTCATGTTTTTACTCTAAACATAACTTGAATTTTCTTCTTTTTTCAGGGATACACTTCAATATAATCAAAGTCCCTTAGCCTTGGTGCTACAGAAATAAGTGTTGATTAATGAAAAAAATAAATATTTAAGCGAAACCTGATTCAAACTTTGTTGCTTTAATTTAATAAATATTAGACTGCTGCATTATCTTACTACCTGAACCATACTAGGGATAATGGTTCACAAAATGTGTGTTTGATAATAACTTACTAATAAATATAAAGGGGGGGGATTTCGGCCCTCTACCAACTTGGCACGGGTCAAATGGGCACAGGCCAACTCGGCCCACTTTTGAAAAAAACATAACTTTTTCTGATAACTGCAAGCTGTTTCAAACTTTTTTCCTTGACATGTCAAAGTCAAACATTCAGTATCAGGCATAATTTCAGTTTCAAAGTCAAACCAGCAATCAAAAATAAACATGCATGAAACAATTTGCTGATCACTTATAAATTCAATATAACAATCTGGCACATAGTAAATATTTACAAGTTCTCCAAGAAAATCGCCTGACCTGTTTGTTATGTTTATCGAAATAATATGACGTGAATATCGATGATGTCATTTTGGAAATTATTTATAAATTGTGACGTCACTTCATTAAGTTGGTGCTTAAAACTTAACTATTCACTATCTAATCTGTTCGTAACTGAAAACGAATAAAATAACAAATAGACTTGTCAGGATATTAGATAAAATTGTTGGATTAAAGGCTAATAAGCTATTGAAACAAGTCTGTTAAAATGGGGGGAAATTATTTTTTGATATCAGGTTACTAACCTGATATCAAAATAATTATCAGTCAAGTGTTATCGAGCAGTTATCATCGCAGTTGCATGATAAAAATTAATATAATACAAATGTGTTCCCTTCAAAATGATGCTTTTTGTTTGTAAAGTGATCTTCAATAAAAAAAGAAATATAAACTTGTTTACTTATTATATAAAATATTTTTAAATGTTTGTTATTTATCTTATATACATAAAACAACATGTAATGCATTTATCAACAGGCAATGTATTTTGCAATGTCACAAGGATGGATTGTAATGAATTCATATATCCCAAATCATTGAAAACTCTATTACCAAAAATGTAATAATAATTTAAGAAAACGTCTTTCAACGTTTGTGAATAAGTCCATTTATCCTGCTACTGTCTATATCATCAGCTGGATAAAGCTTTGCCGGATAAACTTATCTATCTCCAGTCACTACGTCATATGATTACGTCACGTGTTTAGCAGCAAAACAAAACTACATATAGATGCTATTTTATCGGGGAAAAAGAAGAATGAAACCATCTTATTGTTTATAAAAACATGATTAAAGCAGGATAAATCAAATGCATGGTTGATGTCGGGATGGAGAAGGTTTATCCGGTTCGCTGCGAAAGTGAATCTTGGTTCGCTAAAGCTCGCCAAGATACACTTTCTCGCTCACCGGATAAACCTTCTCCATCCCGACATCAACCATGTATTTTCTATATATCAATAATATGGTTCCAACAACAGAGAGTGATAAAACAAACCAATATATTAACACTGATAATCAGATTAATAAATTTTTAAGTGGGACGAGTTGACTATGGAGTTGATCCGTGCCGAGTTGGAATAGGGCCGAGTATGTTAGGGCTGAGCCGACACTTATTCCAATCAAATACATATAATTAGACAATATATCAGTAGACTTAAGTGTGCCATACCCCTAGATCTACAAATGTCGGATGGCTGGTCGGCTAAAACAAAATTAAGAAACGACAGGTTGAGCTACATACCGCCCATTTCTTAAAACAGACTGACATATGGCCTACAGTACCTGTAAGCATTAATAAAAACTAACATACTTTCATCGATGCTTGAAATAACCACATTCTAATATAAAATATCAAAACAAGCTTACCTCGATCAAAGCTCTTCGATTTTCCAGGATTTTCCACCAACTCGACATCGGGAACGAACGATGTCGAAAGACTGCCACTGATTTGGACAATATTTCATCCACACGATACGTTGTCACAGATAAATAAAAGTTGGTATCGTAGAAAATATCTCTATGCTCATGAATAAAAGGAAGAACTACACTTGGATTAATTAATGAGCTTCTAAACGAGGTTAACACACAATTGTACCAGAAAGTCTTACATTTCTCACGGCCCCGTCCGACAACTACCTGCGCATGCGCAGAACGTAAAGTCTTACGTTTCTCACGGGTCTGACAAAATTCACGCCACACCGGTACTGGTTTCTCGTTCATGCATAGTTTTGTCTCTCTACCTACATTTAATAAACTTTTCAAAACATTTAGAATCTTGGCAAGACAAGTAGCGTGGCATACACCTGCTCAGAAACATGTGTTCGCGGAAGAACTCAAGTTTTCAATTTTGTTGACAACTCGTTTAAATGTTTGGGCAAATTCGAATTTTTGGCCATAAATATTGAATCTGCAGAAGCCAAAAGGTGCACCTTCGAGGTTAGGTTTTATGACGCTTTGACCGTTGAAAGGATAAATGTGTTATCTAAAACTGTTTTTATCAGAAACCTTGCGTTTTCAACTAATGGGTGCCTGGGCTGCGTTTCATGGAGAGTCCTAAGTCTTAAGTTTGTCTTAAGTCAAAAATTGTGACACTTTTGCGTTTCAAAGAAAGTCCTAAAAAGGTCCTAACTTAGGACTCCTATATTTATGACCAAAAACAGTCCTAAGTCTAGGAGTGTTGTAAAGGTATCTTAAGATTGTCCTAAGTCAAAACCACTCCAAAATCAAACAACTTTTTGTTGAATTTTGTTTTGAAAACTATCTAGAATGATAGATAATGGTCTAACTAAGAAAATAAATCCGAACACCAATATCTTTAATTCAGTCATTAACGCTGTAAAGACGTTTAAAGAGTTGTTTACATGACGTCACAATTTAGCGCCAAATATCGCGTGCAAAACAAGACGCATCTATAAATAATATTACTGCGCGATGTACAATTGCGTAAATATTTTTTACTATGAAATTAAATGAAACGGTTATTTTATCGTTTTTCGTGAAATATGGTATATATTTTCACTCAACATGATAAGAGGGAAATACGTTACTTTTTATACTTCCTATTATCAATTACATAGTAAATCCAATCCGGATTATGCGCGTGCCATTGTATTTTGTAACTTTTTCAGGAGAGCGAATTGGTCATAAGTCTTAAGTTTAAGACAAAAGATAAGACAGTTACTTGAAACGGTCTTAAGTGCAAAAACTTTTTCTCCTAAAGTTGGTCATAAGTCCTAGGATTTAGGATTAACTTAAGACTCTCCATGAAACGCAGCCCTGCTTTATTGGATATTTATATAACACATGGTTTGTAATACTAATTGGCATCTAGTAATAACTAAAGAATGTTTAATTTGTTAACAATATTTAATCATGTTCCCTCAGCAGCACAATTTCAACAAAAATACACAAAAGATAAAATGATGGTTCGACAATAACTTAAAGTAACTACAAACAAACCTTTGTTGAAGGGATAAAAATTTCTGTCAAATCTGCATTTATTCTAATGATGCAAATTCCATTGATACAAAACAGGTATGCCGGTAAGAGTGTTTTGAAGGATTTCTGCCTTCTCTACTTTACGATAATCTATAAAATTGTCGTTCCAGAGATTATTTGTGGTGTTCTAAAGATTATATGAGGTTGTAAGATTATATGAGGTTGCTTTTTCTATTTTTGCTACCTTCATTTCTGTATGTGTTCCATTTGTTTCAGTCGAGACCATATTGTTGTCTTTATCTATAATTTTTATTAAGCTAAAAGATCATGGAAATTCTGTCTCCGTTAAATGATAGATAATGTAATTAATCAAGTAATAGATAAAAATAAAAAAGTACTAAGTCGCAACTTTGAAACAGGTTATTTCATTTTTATCAATCTGTATATTAAACAGAAACAACACTGCCTGATAAATACCAACAACAACTAAAACAAACAAAAACTTGCAAGCGTATATCAGTGATAAATGAAAGAGATTTTACGTTCCATTTGGTTTAAATGTAGTGTTTGGCAGCAGTCATTATTTTTGAATTAACAGGGTAAGATGAAAGGCTAATTAGTTTAAATACGAAAACAACAAAATCTTAAAGTTTTGACTATAATTAAGATAAATGTGTTCCAATATTTACACACATTTGCTATAGTATGTTTGTCGTCGTTTTAACAGCACACTGGCATATAACTGTTCATATTGCGTAGCAGATTTGCTTTAGCATAACATCTTTATTGGCAATAACTCGTTTATACTTTTTTTAAACTTAAATAAATGACTGATGTTCAATTTATTACAGGAAATATCTTCAGATTTTGTATAAACATTTATATACTTTTATACACTTTTCGCTTGTAAGATATCATAAAAAATCAAGGTTATAGAGGAAAAGTTAAAAATAAATCTGCTTTAGAGAAATGCATCTCCGCCGGTCGTTCGTGACTTTCGTTTTGTTCTTTATTTGCTTTATTGATGAGTCATAAATTATTTTATGTATCGTAATCAGATAAAAAAAGCCTTTCTTATCTACTGTTTTCGTAAGTGGGCTTTTTTCAGTTAGGGATATTTTTTAAAAAAACAATTTGAGACATTAAGATGGAAGTCGTATTAAATGAAAATCCATGATGATCGAAACCTGTGAATTATACTTTTTTAAAACATCAATAATCTTTATCTTTATTGCATACTAGTATTTATTTGTGTATATTAAACCGAATTTACTATCAGGGGAATATATCAGCATTGTGATGGTAAAATTGTCTGGGAGCAAAGCTATTCTATAAAAAAAGAACATAAAAATTAGATTCAACATTATAACATCAGCAGGAGAAACTATCTCAGAATAAATGGATAAATGTCTCAACGTCAAAATAAACGAGAAGCGTTATTTTTGTAGTCAGACTTAAGAGCAAGTTGTGAATTATTTGTGATTTCCCTCTATGAAAAGAAATAAAACTAAAATATTTTGAAATATGTATATCCTCGGAAACACTGGCATGATATATCAGGAAAAATATTGGGAAACACTGGCATGATATATTAGGAAAAATTACTTTGGAAACAATGGCATGATATATCAGGAAAAATATCTGGGAAACACTGGCATGATATATCAGGACATATACCTGGGAAACACTGGCATGATATGTTAGGAAAAATTACTTTGGAAACACTGGCATGATATATCAGGAAAAATACCTGGGAAACACTGGCATGATATATCAGGAAAAATACCCAGGAACACTGGCATGATATATCAGGACATATACCTGGGAAACACTGGCATGATATATCAGGAGAAATACCCGGGAACACTGGCATGATAAATCAGGACATATACCTGGGAAACCCGAGTATATAAGGACATATATCTGGGAAACACTGGCATGAATTATCAGGACATATACCTGAGAAACAATGGTTATCATGACATATATTTACGACACACTGTTAAACGGAGACTTTGGGAGACGGGAATAAAAAGAATAATGTATATTTGGAATAAAATAATTACACCCGAAGTATCTTATTTTTTATAAAACTGGAGATGTATGATAGGCAACAACAGCAGATTAATATAAACACTTTGTTAAAAACAATATCATTAATCCATTCTGCAGAATAAACTTCCAATACACGTATTTTGGCATACTGAATACTTTATCATTCTTTGTTGGAATAAATGCCAATTATTTATTGAAATATATAGGTCACATTTGCTCTAAACTCAGACTTCATTGACATCAAACGTGTACACAGTAGCGGAAAATGGACTTTTACTGATGTAAGCTATAAAGTATTGTAACACGATTTTTGCGGAAAATTGAATTTCATTGATATTGACCAAATTGAATTTAATCCTAAGTTCAGATAAGAAGCTATTGCAATGTTTCGCTACTTCTTTTTTAAATATTTTCTACCCAAATACTTGATATATTTGTTTTCCTTGTACAAAATGTCTGTCAAATTCACCATTGTATCAAAGCCTCCCTTGTTTAGGTCACATGTGCAAGACTATTTAAACATTGGATAAACCAATCAGATATTCAACTCATTTTTTTTAGAATTTCTCGAATTCTTAACATTTTTATTTCATATTTAATCTCAGAGAATTATGATATATATTTACATATGATACAGATATTGTCCAGGTGAGAATGTTACTATCAGTCATATTTCTTCAACTTAATTTGATAATGTCAATTTATCCTGGTTTAAAATCCTGATATTTAATCCTAGGTTTTTAAATGCGATACAGATGATCTGTCAACTGTTAAAACGCAAACAAAACATATTAAAAAGAAAAGGTTATCATTATTCATTTCATAATAATATTATAATGTCTCATTTTAGGAACAAAATGATAAGAATTCAATTTCAGACGATATAAGATAAATCCATCTGTGACATTCATTTGATATGTCCAAAACTTATTGTGTAATGTCCCCGACAAAATTTAAGTCAATTAAATTTATTTTTTACATAACAAAAGGACATTTTACGTCTCCTAAATTCTTATTTATTTATCTGTGAAGCCTCAAGTTAATAACTCTTTTCCTTTGACTTTAATTAAGTATGAAACAATACAAAGGGAAATAACTCAAAAGAAAGTCAAGGGAAATAAAGGGAATTTATGCACAAAGAGTTATTGTTATATATTGATTTATTTAGCTATAACGTTTAAAGTAAATACATGCTATACTTTAATGAGTGAGTAAGGCCCAATGCAAACATTATGTATCAATCGATATAAAGGCAATGGTTGAAAATCATGCAAAATAATTTATTGTTATACTGCACTGCACTTTTCCTTCTTGTTGTCAACAATTAATTGATACATCTGATTTATTTTAATTTGTGCTCCGCACAATTTTCTTTTTAAAAAGCAAAAGGGCAATGACACAAAAAAAACATTTGTGAGTAAAAGTCGTTGCGCAATGCACGTTTCATTGATAACATCAGCCCGTTATTGAAACTGATAGGGTCAAGTATGTTGATATCTCCAATTTTGCAAAAGAGAGTTAGTTCTGAATCTTCGGCGGGGGATAATAAGAAATGTAAGAAAACATTTCACAGCATCGGTGCAATCTCTAGAAAATCCAGTCAGTTATGCAAGAATGTATGATGAACAATCATTTTAATTGGGTGCCTGATACTAAACGCTTAATACTCTTATCTTGAAATGTGTTGCTCAATATAAAACAGTGCACGTG